CCCCTCTCTGACCAGCCTCGGGAGCGTGTCCGACGCCCTGAGCCTCAGTTTGCACGCCTGTGAAATGGGCACACCACCAGGATGGACTGAGCAGGCAGACCCAGGGCCGTTAGGACGTGGGGGGCCCGGGTGACGGAGGGCTGGAGGGGTCCAGTAACTTCCCTCCATGCACCTCAGAGGCCTGCAGGGCTGGGGCTCCGAGGGGCAGTCGGGGAGGGGCCACGAGCGGGGGCGGGGGGCTCGCCAGGGTGTGTGTGCAGCACAGGGGAGGGGGGAAGCGGGGGAGAGCCCGGTAGAGCTTAGATCTCTCCGCAGCTCACCTGTGGGCGGCCGGCTTTGTCTTCTGGCCCCTTTTTGGGCCGCTCGCTGATGTGCCCGCCTACAAAGGACATTCAAATGAGAGACAAATATTTGAACAGGAGGGTGGCCCGGCCTCTGCTCCCAGGCCCTCATTTGGGTGTAAATTGGTTTCATTTAGAGATTTGCATGCTTATCAATGGGGGGTTGGGGGGGGCCAGGGCAGGGCCTGGGCAGAGCCACAGGCTTGTAGGCAAATGTGGGATGGGGGGGGAGGCCGGGGCACTGGGGGGCGGGCAGCACCTCCTCACTGACACTGGGCAGGCAACCTGAGCTGGGCGGCCACGGGGCCCGGCTGGGCTGCAGGACCGACGGCCTGGCCTGGACGCGCGGACGGGGCCCAGCGGGACGCGCCGGGGGGCGGGGGGGGCAGTGGGTCCCCCACACAGAACTCCATGACACCCCCCGAGGGGTCAGCCCTGGGGCCTGTCCCCCAATCCGTGGGCTCGGGGGTCCCGGGAGGAGAGGCCCTGGCCGCTCGCTGAGCCAGCGGGGCCCACAGAGGGGCCGGGGGCCGGTGGTCGAGAAGGGGAAGGGGGGCAGTGGCCCCCGGGCTGGGTCCTGGACGCCCTTCGTTACAGGTTGTGTCCCCCGAATTCACAGGCTGGCGTGGCTGCGCGTGGGAGCAGCGGGCCCTGGGGTGCCCTTCTCCCTCCCGAGCGCCCGGACGGGGAGCGAGGGTGCAGGCTCCCGGAGAGGACCTTGGCCTCCGGCACTGACAGTGGCTCCTGCCGGCTCAGCCCGGCTCTGCAGCTGCCCCCGGGACTCCACCACGGCCACCCCGGGCCTGGTTGTGCTTGTTGCCGTGGAGACAGGCCTCTGACCTGGTTCCAGGGTCTGGCCCGCGCTGGGTGGGGGCCGACAGGTGTGTGTCCTTGGGCCAGGGCTGCTCTGGGGGTGCCGACCCCTCCCCCCAGCAGGCCCCTCGCTGCCCCTGGGAAGCTGGACGTCCACAGCTCTGGTGACAAAGGCCCATTCCACAGTGTGGGGTGGGGGTCCAGTCTCGGGGGGCGGGGGGGGGGGGGCGCTGCAGGAGGCAAGGCTGGCCTGCTGACGGCAGCTCCTGTGGCATCGGGGCCCCTGGGTAACAGATGTGCCTGTTAATCACAGCCGGCAGCCTGGCAGGCAGGCTCCGGGGGCCCTGGGGGTCCTGGGAGGTGGGGGTGGGGGGTGGGGACAGGGCCCAGACTGTCCTCCCTCTGTCCCTCCTCCTCCTCTTCCTCCAGCCCCGGCCGGGAGAAGCTGGGAGCCGGCAGGGTGCTTGGCCCGTCCAGCCCCCAGGACCGGCTCCTCTGTCTCTCAGGGCTGACAGGCCCCCCATGCCCTGCTCCCAGCAGGAGACCAGCAATGGCGGCCTCCAGGCGGACGTGGGCCCGAGGAAGCGTGATGGAGCGTGATGGCAGCGTGACGGCAGCATGATGGCAGCATGATAAAAGCGTGACGGGGCTGCCGCCCGCCCTGCTCGCTGTGAACCCCACGCACCCTGAGCTCGCGGGCCCAGAGGTGGGGACAAGTCCCCGAAGGGGCAGGACTCCGGGGGACCTGTCCCCACTGCTGTCCCTCCTAAGGGCTCAGGACTGACTCTGCCCCAGGGTCACCTGGCCCACACCCCGGGTTCATGGGAACAAAGACTGAGCCTCGGACAGCCCCACAGGGAGTCTCACCCCATCTCACTGCTGGGAACAGGCCAGGAGCCCCGCTGGCCATGCCCCCTCCACCCCAGCAGCAGGCGCCACCCTCCCGGCCCTTCCCTCCCATCCCTGGCCCCTGGGGCTCTGGGAGATGGGACTGCGCCCACACCATCCCGCCCCTCTCCCCTCCGCTGCCCACGCGGGAGCCGTCCACGGCGGGACCTCCCCCGCCCCCCCCAGGCCGCACACCACGACCACCTGCCTCACCAGGAGCACAGAGGGCCCATGTCTCGGAGGAGGAGCCTTCGTGGCCCCTTCCCTGGCCTGGGTGCCCCCTCCCCAGGCAAACACGCAGGGGTGAGAGGTGGGTCCCCTGACCCCACCCAGCCAGGGGCTCAGAGGCGAGGGTGCCTTTGGGCATGGTTGTGCTGCCAAAAATTTATATAAATAAAAAATAGCAAATAAAGTTTCAAAACATATCCTAGAGAACTGGAATGCATAAGTATATCACAACTAGAGGCCCGGTGCACAAAGTTCATGCATGGAGGAGGGGGAGGGGGTTCCTCAGCCCGGCCTGCACCCTCTCCAACCTGTGACCCTTTGGGGCATGTCCACCTACCAGGTTAGGCCCGATCCTCTGGGCCTCATCTGGCAGGCGGACATCCCTCTTGCAATCCAGGACAACTGGCTCCTAACCACTCACCTGCCTGCCTGCCTGATCACCCCTACCTTGCTCCCCCTGCCTGCCTAATCATCTATGCCTCCACTTGCCTGCCTGATTGCCCAAACTGCCCTCCCCTGCTGGCCTGATTGCCCCTAACTGCCTCTACCTGCCTGCCTGATTGCCCCTAACTGCCTCTGCCTGCCTGCCTGCCTCATTGCCCCCAACTGCCCTTCCCTGCTAGCCTGATCTCACCCCTAACTGCCTCTGCCTCGGCCCCCACCACCATGGCTTTGTCTGGAAGGAAGATGGTGGGTTGACAGGTCTAATTAACATATTACCCTTTTAGGAGCATAGATATATGTTTATATCCTGTATATGAGGCCCCTAGAACCACACGAAATGCATAACTCATTCTCTAATTGCCCCCCTTAAAAGTCAAATGGCCACTCTGTGGGTGTGTGCTCACATTGGGAGCCACTGACTCAGGGACACCCCCCTCTCCCCCTCCACCGTCTTGGGGGGCTGCCATTTCCGACTCCGTGGCAGGGCCCTGGAGGCTCTGGCAGTGACCCCGAGAGGACCCTCTCCCTCGGTGGGGTGAGCCACGCCCAGGCGACACACCTGTGTCCCGGCTGGCCACCCACCACCGCCCGTATCCTCTCACCGGCCGGCAGGCCTCCGTGGCTGAGCATCGACCTATGAACCAGGAAGTCGTGGTTCGATTCTGGCAGGGGCACATGCCCAGTTGCGGGCTCCATCCCCAGTGGGGGGCTGCAGGAGGCAACGGAGCCATGATTCTCTGTCACCATTGATGTTTCTCTCTCTCTCGCCATCCCTTCCTCTCTGACACCAATAACCACCTATTTTCTAAAGCGAGAAAGCACAGGGACAGACGGTGGGGAATAATGCCCAGGAGGTGCCCGCTGCAACCGCCGGGACACGGGAGACGCTGCCGGACAAAGATCCCGCTTCTCCCGTTCAGAAACAGGCACGGCGGCCGCACAGGCCCCGAAAGCCAGTCCAACGCGTGGCCCTGGGCGCCAGCCTGGCGCTGGGGAGGCACAGGTGTGCACGGGGCGAGGGTGGTGTGGGCTTCCCAGCGGGAACTCAGGGGGTGACCATAGTGTCCGGATTTGCTTCAAAACCTCGTGGGAGTGAACGTGGCCCCTTATCAGTCATCCTTGATGCCCCATCCTCCCAGGCTTCCCTCCCAAACCCACATGCCCCCCTCCCCGTCCCCCCCATCGTGTCCAGACTGCTCCTGGGGTCAAGGGAAAGAGTCTCAGGATAAGAGATCATCCGAAGGACTTGTGTGCATGCATATAAGCATAACCAGTGACGCAAAACTCTGAGGGGTGAGGGCATGTATGGGAGGGGGGAGGGGGTCAATGGTAAGATATGTACACGTATAATACCTTAATAATAATAATTTTTAAAAAAGAGTCGCAGAGAGCCCGGGGCCTGTGGTTCAGTGAGGTCTGAAGACTGTGGGGTGACCATGCCCCCTCTGCCCCCTGGAGGTCAGTTCACTCAGCCAAGTCCGACCTCACCCTCACCCCCGTCACCATGGTGCCCACATCTGCTCTCTGCCAGCCTCCCAGGGTCCCAACGGCTTTGACCCCACCACTCCCTGCTGGAAGAAGGGGTGCCTTCGGCACCTTAAAACAGCCTGGGGGATCCCCGCCCCCACCCCTGCCATAAAAGAGGGCTTTGGGCCTAGACTTCAAAGCTGCCGGGGCCCAGGTCAAAGGTAGGGCCCGCCGAGCAATCTCTGCAGGGCCTCCGAGCTGGGGGGCCTCTGGGGGGGCCTTCCTCCCGCCTTATCCTCTCCAGGCGGCTGGGGCGCAGGCTCCGTGGCCAGGACCCTGCCACGGGGAGCCAGAGTCGTCTGGAATTCCCCCATGACCCCGCAGGGTGGCCCTGGGGTCACTCCCATGTGCAGGCCGAGCAACTTGTCCAGGGTCACCCAGCAAGCGGCAGGAAGTGGCCTTCTGAACCCCAACCAGGGGGCAGGCTGCCAAGGGGGCTCACCTGGGGCCTGGGCCTGGGCCTGGGCCTGGGCCTGCACTTGGCCTGGGCCCAGATGCGGGGGGAGGAGGGGGGAGCAGCTTCCCCACCTCCACTTCCCAGCTGGGTGCAGCCCTGCCCAGACTCCCACCCGCTGCAGGCACCTGTGGGTGCCCAGGACCCTGCCACAGAGCACAGGGTCCTAAGAACGCCCACTCCCCCGGAAAACAGCCGGGGGAGCCCTGCATCACCCCGGAGATGGAGACCCTGCCAGGGCCCTGTCCCTCCAGCCTGTGGTGTCCGGATCTCACCAGGTCCAAGAAGCCCAGGTGGTGGGGTCAACCATCTTTATTGGATTCTGCTGGACGGAGTCTTTGTATAAAAATAAGTTCATGGTGCCCTGTTCCCGGGCAGTTCGAGGTGATGTGGAAACAGCAGATGCTCTGTGACCTCACACCCCGGCTCCCTCCGGGAAAACCGCGGGCTGGTGCCCGGCCGGGGCCAGCGGGTGGCCTCAGGGTGGACAGTCTGGGTCCCAGGATGCTGTCCCTCGGGGAGATCAGCCAGTGGACAGTCTCAGGGTGGACAGTCAGGGTCCCAGGAAGCTGTCCCTCCGGGAGATCCGCAGGGACCACGCGGTCAGGCTGGGCGTCACGGCGTCGGTGTTACCCGGCGGGCAGCAGCAGGATGGAGGCCGGGCCACCCTCTGGCTCCTCGGTGGGGACGGAGCTGCCCTGGGCCGCGGGGCTACGCCACCTGGAAGGAGGGGACAGGAGGCAGTCAGTGCGGGGCCAGCCCCGCCTCCACCCCTGAGATCCAGGCGGCGGTTCCTGCGGGTCCGTGGGTTCGGGAGCTCCGGGCTGTGGGGGCCATGAGGGGGGCCGGGGGCACCCGCTGCGGTGAGTCAGGCTCCGCCGCCGGCTCCTGTCCACGGGGCGCGATTTGCAATGCAAAGTCCCCCTCCCTGCGCCCTCGCCCCGGGGACCGCCGCCCGCACCCCCTCCTCGCCCTCCCCCGGCGGCGGCGGGAGGAAGTGTCGCAATCCCGGACCAACAGGCGCCGTCGTGCTCGGGCTTGAACCAGCGGGGGATGGAGAGCAAGCGGTGCTGGAGCCATCGCCGGGACGGCGCGCGCGGCTCCCGGGCGGACAGGGCGCGATCCCGGGGCCGCCGGCCTCCCCCCCCGCCCGCCCCGGGGCCCCGATCCCCCTCCCGCCGCCCCCTGGTACCTGGGGCGGGTCAGCAGCCGCCCAGCCAGACCGGGAAGCCGAGCAGCTCGCGCTCCGCCGGGCTGGGCGCGCCCTCGCCGCCGCTGCCGTCCGAGGAGCAGGCGGAGCGCGGGGAGCCGGGCTCGGAGCTGCCGCCGGAGGGCGGGGCGGCCGCGGGGGGCCCCCCGGGGGGCGCCAGGAGCCCCCCGTCCTGCTCGGCCAGCAGCCGCTGCAGCGCCCGGATGTACGCGGCGGCCGAGCGCAGCGTCTCCGCTTTGCTGAGCCTCCGGCCGCCGCGCGGCACGTGCTGCCGCAGCGCCTGGAAGCCCAGGTTCACCCGCCGCACGCGGCTGCGCTCCCGCGCGTTGCGCCGCGCCACGGCCGCCCCCGCCCCGGCCCCCGCGCCGCCCCCGGGCCCCTCCGGCCGCCGCCGCCGGCCGCAGCGCAGCAGCTCCGGGGACGCGGGGCGCCGGGCGGCGCTGCTCCCGGGGACGCCGAGTGCCGGGGCCGGGGTCCGGGGCGGCGCGCCGCCGCTCATCGCCCCGCACGCGCCGGCCCCGCGCGGCAGGAGGTGCGGGCGGGGAACCTGGGTGCCGGGAGGTGCGGGCGGAGGAACCCGGGCGCACGGACTGCGGCCGCGCCCCGAGGGGAGGGGGCCGGGCTCTGCGCCCGCAGCCGCTGCCCGGGTTCCGCGCCGGGTCTCCGGGTCGCAGGGCGCAGGGCGCGAGGCCCGGGAGGCGGCGGCCGTGGGCGCGGGGCTGGGCCGCTCGTGTCCTCCCGGGCGGCGGGCGGCGGTTTTAAAGGAACAGACAACCCTCCTCCGCCTCCCCCGCCTCCTCCCCGCCGCGCCCTCCGGCCGCTGCGCCCGCCCCCTCGCGCCCAGCCAGCAGAGGCCGAGCCGGAGCGCGTCCCCTCCGTCCCGGGGCCAGTCCGTCCCGAGGGCACGGTCCGCGGGTCCAGGGGCCAGTTCGTCCCGAGGGCACGGTCTGTCCCGGGGGCACGGTCCGTCCCGGGGCACAGCCCGCAGCTCCCGGGGCCCCCACCCCAGGTCCAGCCCGCAGGTGCTCAGTGCGCCCCCCAGACGCAGCGCGCGGGGCCCGCGTGCCCCCCCCCCATCTCCGGGCGCTGCCAGCCCCCCGGGGCGAACCCCCCTCCCCGCCCAGAGAAGCCCGCGGTCCGCGGCGGCCGGGCCCCCACCTCCGGCGCAGCCGCGGGTCCCAGCGTGGCCCGGGCCGCGGAGGAGGGGGGCGGAGCCCCGGGACCGGAGGCGCGACACCCCTCCCCGCCCCCCGGGCAGCACGCGCCGCCGCCCCACCCGCCCGCCCGCCCGCCGGGCCAGAGGCGGAGGCGCAGGGCCGGGCCAATGGCGCACTGTCCGCCGGCCCGCGCCCCGCCCGGAGGGAGCGCAGACGCCGGGCGCGTGGCTCCGGAGCGTCTTAACCGCTGCGCCCGCCCCGCCCCGCGGCCGGAGCGCGCCTCCACGTGCACCTGCTGCAGCTCCTGCCACCCCATCCCCCCGCCTCCCCTCCTCCCCCCCCAGGGTGGGAGAGGGCCCTGCAGGCCTGCCCGAGCCGGGAGCCCGGAGCCTGGAGACCAGCGCTGGGGTGGGGAGTCCAGGTTCCCAAAGCGCCTTTCCGTTGATGAGAGAGAGAGACATTAATGGTGAGCCTGGCTAGTGAGGCTCAGTGGATAGAGCATCTCCTGCGGACTGAAGGGTCCCAGGTTCGAGTTCGGCCAAAAGCATGTGTCTTGGTTGCGGGCACATCCCCAGGAGGGGATGGGCAGGTGGCAGCTGATCCATTTTTCTCTCTCACCGATGTTTCTAAGGCTCTGTCCCTCTCCCTTCCTTTCTGTAAAAAAAATCAATAAAGTATATTTTTTTAAAAACACACACATCAATGATGAGGGAGAATCATTGATCAGACCAGCCCGCAGGCCAAGCCCAGCACAGCCCAGGCCGTGACCTCGGGGCTGGTAAATGCCTTCAAATATTCAGGGGGGAAATTCTACATACACTCCTTCTTTACCGCGGAAAAGGGGCCTGTGTCCCAGCGGGATGATTTTCCGCTAAGGTCAGGAGCAAGACAAGCGAAGCTGTTTCATCTCAGAACGTCTGCTTCACGCTGTTCCGAGGCTTCAGCTGGAGCAAACGGTGAGAGAGAGCCCCAGCGGGGGCGGGGGAGGCCCAGGCCGGAAAGGAGGAGGAAAATGTGTCCTTAGTCACGGAAAACATGATCACCTGAGAAGGAAATTGTAGAAACACGAGCTACAGTGGGTTTAGCAAGGTTGCAGGATACAAGATCAAAACAAACACACACGACTAACTGGAAATTGAGCTTCAAAACACCAGGCACAATAACATCAAACATTAAATACTGACGAGACCTCAGTGGATAGAGCGTCGGCCTGCGGACGGAAAGGTCCCAGGTCCGATTCCGGTCAAGGACATGTACCTTGGTTGCGGGCACATCCCCAGTGGGAGGTGTGCAGGAGGCAGCTGGCCGATGTTTCTCTCTCATCAATGTTTCTAACTCTCTATCCCTCTCCCTTCCTCTCTGTAAAAAAATCAATGAAATATATTTAAATTTTTTTTAAAACCATATAAAATACTGGTGAGGTACCAGACTGCCTCCACAGGCCCAAACATCCCACCCTGGACCAAAGGCCCTCCCAGGACCCGACATCCCTCCGGGGCCCAGACTGTCCTTTTGGTCGCAGCCGTTATAGCAAGGACCAGAGGCCGTTCCTGGTACCCATACTGGAAGCCAGTGCCTCTTCCTTAATTGGAGGCCAAATAACCAGGCTAATCCTACCCACCTTTTCATCATCACGAGGTCCTGCCCTTGCACCCAACCTCACTCCTGGGACCATAGCGCCCCCTCGTGACCACACCGTGCCTGAACACCCAGACCTTCATCCGGGGCTCAGACCTGGATGGCGGGGCCTAATTGGCCCTCCCAGGGCCCAGGTCCCAAACCTGGAACACAGAGCTGTTTCAGGGGAAGAGATCTCTGTGTGTAACCCCAACAACTATTCCATAACCCGGATGCTCAGGTGAGGCACCAGACGGCCCCGAGGCTCAGACTTTCCCCCGGGCCCGAACTGCCCTCGGAGAACCCAGACCTCCACCTGCGCTCACACCTACATCCTGGACTCGGACTGTCATGGCGGGGCCGGGAAGATTTTCCCGGGGCCCCGGCCTCAAACACAGACTCCAGTCCTGTATCAGGCGTCTGTTCTCGTCTGTAACCCAGACCATCGTTCCATAACCCAGATGTCCTGGTGAGATTCCAGACTGCCCCCCCGGGCCTCAGACCTCCCTCCCTGGCCCGAACTGCCCTCCAGGACCCACACCTCCACCTGGGGTCAGACCTACACCCGGGCCCCAGACCTTGTTATTGTTTTATTTTTATTTTTTTAATTTCCAACAGCGAGGAAGAGCGTGGAAAAGCGAGTTGGAAACATCGGTGGGAAACACCGATCCGCTGCCTCCTGCACAGCCACCGCGGCGATGTGCCCGCACCAAAGTTGGACGGACTTTGGCACAACCACAGTCCAACCGTCCCTACGTGGACTCTGTGTTCTCCCCACGTGCACGCCTCGATGCCGCGTCACGGACACGCGAGGCCCCGAGCTCCGCTGGGTATGTAACGGCTCCTCGCCGCTCTCCTCTCCGGTGACGACGGGGAGATGCTCTGGCCTGAGGGGAGGCAGGGACGGGGCGCCCTGGGCGGCAGGAGAGCGCTTTGGCCTCTGACCCCGGGGACGGCCAGCATCGCTGCTCGCCTGCTCCAGGGCCTGGGCCTGAGCGAGGGGCAGATGTCTCCGGCAGAGGGGGCGCCGCAGAGACGGCTGCTGGGAGCCAGCGAGGGCGGGGGGCCATGTGACGGACGGACTTCGGTGGGGAAGCCTGAGAACAGGTTGTTGGAGGAGTGGGGGGAGAGGGGGGCGCCCCGGTTCTGGGTGGCGGAGTGAGCCTGGTGCGGCACCCGCCGATCTGATACGCCAGCGGCCCCTGGTGCCTCACAGGCGGGAACGGCCGGGATTTCGTCCCGGTGCTCCACATGGCAAGCTGCGTGTGCGTGTGCGTGTGCGTGTGCGTTGTTCATTCTGTGATTTGGCACCTCATGTTGCTGGACCATGGCCACCCTGGCCGATGGAAACACCTCAAAGTGCAGTCACCCATGGGCACCCCAACAGTGAGACTGTGAGCAGCACTGGGACCCAGACACTGTCCTTCCCACCAACTAGGAACAGCGGGGGCCAAATGTTGACGCCAGGACATGTGACAGGAACACGGCATGTCACCCAGCCGGTCAGGGCTGGCCTGCTGTGAACGGTGGCCAGGCCCTGATCAGGTTTCCCTGGGTTTCCCCTGGGTCCTCTGTCCCCGGACCCGCCGCGACACTGGGAGGTCATCTTTGCAAAGTGCTGAGCACACAGTAGGTGCTCAGCGCACAGTAGGTGCTCAGCACTCAGTAGGTGCTCAGCACACAGTAGTGCTGGCGCCCTCTGCTCCTCACCCACCTCCTCCCCGGGTCCTTGTGGCCACGCCCGGAGCAAGGCTGTGGGGCTGGCCGGGCCTCTGATGCCTGCAGAGCCTGGTGCCCTGGGCCAGGGCTGGCAGCCGGGGGCAGAGCCGGCAGCTCCTCCCCTTCCTGCCGCCCGTCCTTCGGCAGCTCAGTCCTCAGGGTGTTGACAGAGGGGCAGCACCTCTCCCTCCTGGGCCGGCAGCTGCGTCTTAGGGCCCGCCCACTGAAACCCAGGGAGGGGAGGGGAGGGGAGGGGAGAGAGGGGAGAGGAGGACGGGGGAGCAGGGGGAGCAGAGGAGAGGCGACCGCCATGGGCCCTCGGCGTCGAGTCAGGGTGGCCAAATGCCAAATGCTGGTCACCAGCCTCTTTGTCCTGGTAACAGGGGTTGGGTGGGAGGGGGCCTCAGGGGAGAGGGTGGTGCTGTGTGACTAGGCCTCCAGCCCATGGACGCACCTGGGTCCCTGGTGGTGGGCGCCCAGGGGTGACCGTTGGGGTGGCTGCCCCTTTGGGTGGTGTCTGACCCCCCCGCCCCCACTGGACAGCCAGACGCCTGCAGGAGCCTGGGGGTGGCAGGTGCACTGGGGGGGGGAAGAGTGATGCCGGGGGGGGCTGTCACAGGGGGGACTGGGGCTGGGGCTGGGGGCCCACTTCCTGCTGTGCAGAGAGAGCCCAGGCCCGTGTGTGTGTGTGTGTGTGTGTGTGTGTGTGTGTGTGTGTGTCGGGGGAGTCTGTGTGTTGGGGGGTCTTTGTGTGTTGGGGGGTCTGTGTGTGTGTGTCGGGGGTCTGTGTGTTGGGGGGTCTGTGTGTGTGTCAGGGGGTCTGTGTATGTGGGTCAGGGGGTCTGTGTGTGAGTTGGAGGGGGTCTGTGTGTGTGTGTCAGGGGGTCTGTGTATGTGGGTCAGGGGGTCTGTGTGTGAGTTGGAGGGGGTCTGTGTGTTGGGGGGTCTGTGTGTTGAGGGATCTGTGTGTGTGGGTCAGGGGGTCTGTGTGTGTGTGTTGGGGGGTCTGTGTGTTGCAGGGGTCTGTGTGTGTTGGGGGGTCTGTGTGTGTTGGGGGTCTGTGTGTGTTGGGGGTCTGTGTGTGTTGGGGGTCTGTGTGTGTGTGTCGGGAGGGTCTGTGTGTTGGGGGGGTCTGTGTGTTGGAGGGGGTCTGTGTGTGTTGGAGGGGGTCTGTGTGTGTTGGGGGTCTGTGTGTGTGTCGGGGGGTCTGTGTGTGTTGGGGGGTCTGTGTGTGTTGGGGGGTCTGTGTGTGTGTCGGGGGGTCTGTGTGTGTTGGGGGGTCTGTGTGT